CTTATGTCTTAAGAAACATTATTTTAATAACGAAAGTGCTAAATTCTTTCCAACAGTATAGATGTGTAGTGCATTTTGTCCGAGTCGGTTTGCCGTACTTTGACGTCATCGGGAGTCGAAGGACCCCGAGCCGATCTTGCACCCGAGCAGATACTGTACCGACACCGGAACAACGTCCGTCCACTACTAGATTATTTTCCTGTTTTGCCCCTTCGTCTCCCGGCAACGGACAACAACTTCCGGGGTCAGATGCGCTGCTTTTTGTCTATCGCAGATGTAGAAAATCACCGGGTGCGCTTCTCCCTTCATTAAGGAGCTTCTTTCAGACATGAGGAGAGCTGTTTTGGTGGTAGCAGTCTCTCCTCCGTGCTGGTCTGTTTGCTGCTGGGTGTTTTTGGTTTATTTAAACTTGGTAACTTGAACTTAATGTTGGTAAAGCTACTGTTAGCATCTTCGCTAACAGCTTCTTGCATTGGGATAAGCTGTTACGTTTTGGTTTAGAGTTCATCTTTTTGTGGTGTAGATCTCCCTTTTATTACATTTAGAGTGTTGTGGGTTTTCGGTTTAGTGTAAAATATCACCTGAGTTTGGTTTAACCCGTAAGACCACTCGCCTCACGCACATAAGTGACCTAAACAAAGCAGCATGGAGACACTCCATCTTCTACCACCTCTCAGGCAGCAGCCTGCACTCCCAAGTTCTACACGTCACCAGAACATAACCAACCGCAACACAATAAAAGCAGTGTTATACAAAATGGAAGGCCTGTAGTGTTTATTCTCTTATAGTAAGAATTTATCAATTTTTTTGATGAAATTATTTGAGATTTTCTGGTTTTTGTTAATTGTGCAATAGAAAAATAATCATTAGATTAATTTTCTAAATAGTCATTAGAATAGTCGACTATTCGATAAAATAATCGTCAGAATAATCGTTTTAAAAATAATCGTTTACTCCCAGCCCTACTCAACAGAGAGAAGGAGAAAAACCTCTCGCTCTATAAACTGCGATAACGCAATACTCGCGAACCGAGTCACTACTTTTGGCCCTTCTTTAGAGAAATAAATCTAGGGGTGAAAAATCTGTAAATCTAGCCAAAAAGACAGTTGGAAAAACAGAAGTGGAACTGGAACTGAAGGGGATTATGCAATCTGATTGGTTGGAAGCGTCATGTGGGGCGCTGTGCCAGCTAGATGCAGAAATTAAAGGAGAAGCGCTACAGCCCAATATTGCCCAAAATGTTTAATCCATTTGTTTATCCACAAGGATGGAAAATTATTTTCCAGGACAACTCAAAAATTTCCAGGACATTTTGCAATTCCCCCCATTTTCCATGTGTTTTCCATGACTGGAAAATTGGACTATCATTTTCCAGGTTTTCCAGGACGCGTGGGAACCCTGCATGTGTTTTCCATGACTGGAAAATTGGACTATCATTTTCCAGGTTTTCCAGGACGCGTGGGAACCCTGAATTTTAACTCATAAAAGCAGAGAAAATGGTACAAGCACAAAAACAGGCCTGGACTCTTTGGGTTGTCTAACCAGAGCCTTAGCTGACATAATCTAATATAAACTACCCCTGTCTGGATTACCACTCCGTTAACTCATTCACTGCCAGCCGTTTCCTGATCAGAAAAGCCCTTCGCAGCCAGCATTTTACTGTTTTTTTAAGAGTCACAGAACGTTGTGCTCTATGATGATGTCAATGCCAAAACTACCAAAACAAAGAAGAGACTCCCCTCACATCAGGAAGAATTCACGCGTTTCGAGCATTATCCATTCTTTCATAATCTGCTGTTGAATTGCGATCGGCAGAAGCTTTTCTGGTTCGGGCCTCACTTTTTTTTTTACAGCAGCGGTCAAAAACGATCTCCTAATACATGGATTTTCTGCTTCCTGATCACGTGACATGTGACGTACGCAGATGAAGATCAGAGTGTTTTCATTGATGTCAAGACCTTCCTATCAGACATGACTGCCTCTGCCCTAGTTCACCCCCAGGACACGGGATTACCCCCTGCAATACACACAAGTACACACAAGACTTCACTCTCCCTTACACACTTGAATGAGCACTAACACACACACACACACACCATCAACACATTTATCTCTATTAGCATCACACAACTTATCTTTGACATACTGAACCATAAGGCCTTATGTCTAATATACTGTTCACTAATACAACCATACATGGCATATTGCATAGAAATATGGGGTTCAACTTTTAAAACATTTATACTCAGCTTTAGAGCTGGAATGTTTGTTCTCACGGTGCGGCGGCTCGTTCCGATGCCCACACAGTAAAAAAATGCAAATGACGACTTTAGAGAAATTATGACACGTCTTTAAATAAAGTAAAATTTTCTAGTGCAGAGTGGAGACAACCCACAGAGGCACTAATTTGATCTCATTTCAGAAATACACCTAATAAATTAAATTACTAACAAACTCAGGCATTATATCCACTGCTACCTTTCTAATTTTAAACTCAGTAACCTATGCTGTAACTTCACCTTGCTGCCCTTCGGCTGTGATCACAAGCGACAACATAATAGTTCCCGCTGCTTCTACGGGAAACAGCGCAAAAAAAAAAACACAACTTGGGATCTTGTAGGCGTGGCGGTGGGATTTCAGCCGTGGTGGCCCGCCATGGCTACGCCTATGCAAGGGAAACCCTGGAGTACTAAAGAAGTGATCGTGGACCTAGACAAAACAGTCCCCACAAGAGTAAGCCAATTTGTATTTGAAAGGTCAGTTAGAAACTGGAGCAAAGTGACCCAGTGAAGTTAACCCTCAGATAATTCTACAAGGTTGATGTTCCGTTAACACAACAGAAATCCACTTCAAAAGTAGCCTTTTTTTGTCACTAGCTGTTAGCTTGTAAATCTAGCTGGAAGCAAACTACTCCTACCATCTGAGGTTAATTAAAGGGACACCTACTGCAGGTAAGATATTAACTGCTCCTAATGTTTCCACATAACCCACCAAAAGACAAGAATTATTATTTCTAAAGTTTTTTTATTTGTTGACGCTGTCTGATTTCCTGTAGGAGATTGTTCACGTGCAGACATCAGTTTACATTAAACATGATGGCCAATTTAGCTCATGGGATTAAAATAATAAAAATAAAACGGCACTGGTTCACTCCACGGATGGTGGCGGAGCAAATACAGACTGTGAGCCTTGACATTTTTACTCGTCAGCTATCAGTGGGCCTGTTATATTACATCCATCTCTTGTGTCCCCAAGCATACAGTGAGGAAGCTGATGAAGTGTGATAGCAGTGAGGGAATGTTTCACACAGACCTGATGGATTTGAGTTGTCTCTTTTGGAGGGGCATGGTGTGACCTCTCATCTAGATGAAGTGAAGATACACCGCAAGCCTGTCATGCAACTTACCATCACCGGGTAGCAGCTCAATTACCACAGATCCACAGAGGGAGTATGTGGGTCTCTTATCAGCTGTTTGCCCATGCAGGTGACTCCAGGTGAACTCTGAAATGAAAAGGTCTCCAATTATCCATCCATCCTTTCATTCATTTCTGAACCCACTTTGCCCACGTAGGGTCGGGTGGGGGGGTTGTACTGGTGCCCATCTCCAGCCGTCAATGGGCAATCAGGCGGGGTACACCCTGGACAGAGAGCCAGTCCATCGCAGAAGATCTCCAATTACCCATTTCAAAAACAATCCAGCATGGCTCTTCTCTGAAGCCTCTAAAAGATAATAATTATCCCTCAGCCATTGTTACACAATACTGGTTGAAGTGACATGCGATAATAAAATGATTAATGGTGTAATTTGTCCATAGCACTTTTGACATTAATGACTTTAAATAGGACAGTGTACCCCTGTGGTGCTGAGATAAGACAGGTAGAAGGCATTGCAGGACATCAGCTGTCAACTTTTATGACTGTGCAGCGACGGTGTTAAATACCACTGACATGTATTCACACAGAGATGCTATTTTTAGAACATTTGTTGCTTAAATCCTATCCTCCATGTCACAGGATTAAAGGATTCCCAATGTGTGGAGATGTGTGTGGCTGGATTTTTACCAGGAATCGCCACCCTCGGTCCCAGGATGATGTTTCTGCACCACAGTTGACCAACATTCACAGATTCGTGCTTTTAAGACATCTGTGTTAGCTAACAGCAGTTCCCTAGAAGTACTGACATCTGTACACAAGAGGACTACTTTAGGAGGTGATGACTTCAAACCCATTTTAATGTTGCCCCTTTTCTCTTTCATGTGTTGCATTTAAATCTTTATGGATATTAGAAAAATGCAAGCATTCCTCTAAATCACAGCCACTTCAAAATTTCTGCCAAAAACATGCACTTGGGTCATATTTTTTCATTTCAACTCAAGTGAAATTAGACTTTTTAATTTATTAACTGAAATCAGCTCATTTTGGACTTCAAACTCAACAATGCATCTCTTTTTCCGTCCGTGTATCAATGTAAAATGGCTTTCTTAATCATTTAACTAGCTATTTACTTTTAACAGTCAATAAAAACCAGCAAGGCAGGAAAATCCACAAACAGATTAAATCAAAAGCAAATCTAGTTTTTGTTTACAAGGATAGAACATGGTGATCCATTTAAATAGTTTGTGTTGCAAAATAAAGAGAGCAAACAGCTAATTAAATAATAATCATAAACACAACAAGATGCTAGTAAAAGAGCAAAAATGTAGATAAATCTCCAGGAAATACAGTGATGAGCTCTGTGGACAGAGAAAACACATCTGAAGTTGTTAGGTAATTTGATTTTATCCCATATTACCTTAAAGGACGACACACCCTTTGATGGAGAGAGTAAATTGATTATTTGTAATGTCCATGTGTGTAGCTCAACCAGGCCCCATTCTGCTTCAGCCTCAAAGCTTTATCCTCACCTGCTCTGTATACCTGCATTCTGCAATTATCTGGTAGATAATACTTAACCTCCATAACCCTGGAACCTGAAATAAACCCACATGACAACAAGGAAGACATTTTACCCTGAGTCTCCAAATGCATGGAGAGTTAACGCAGAGAAACCTCCTCCGAGGCTTCCCCCACGTCACTCCCCTGTGCTCCCAGTTCTTCAGGGGCTTTATTCACCAAATGGATGGGGGGAGAAGGCGGACCTTCTCAAGTTACAGAGTTCTCTCAATTAACATCTTTGCTCAACCTTTTTATGAACATACCAACACAGAGATTCATGATGTGTAATGGGCATCTTTTAGGTCTCAAAAAGGTACAATTATAAAAATACCCAACATTCCCTCCTGATGTGACTTTTTGAGCAATAAAAGATTAAACCAATAAAACAACATTAACATGAAATTAGGACACACCTAACCTGGAATTTGAAATGACCAATTAATCAATCAGATTTTAGTTCAACATTAAACCAGACATCAAACCCAATTTTATCCTGTATTTCTAGCTTCATTAACTTATCCCCCCTGAATGCTACCTTTGAGCAATGATTATCCTGTCAACAAAACCCAGAGCAAGAGTTAAAACCTGGAATTAGGAATGAATAATCTAGACACCAAAACCTACATAATAATCTTGAATTCCTAGCTTTATTAAAGTAACCCATATCATTTGTCATCAAACACTTGTGGATCTTCTGCTCCACATCCGTCGTTACCTCCTGTGCTGCAATCGATCGCTTGTAGGACTGAACAGGTGTCACAGGTTTTGAGTTTTCTGTGGCTGGCTGACCTGCAGTTCTGGTTCCCTCCTGAAGTTGGTGTTTGACCTCTGCACCTCATCTCCAGTTCAGGTGTGATATCTCGGTCACACTGTGCTCTCAGCTTTGCGTCGTCCCGCTGACGTGTCGACGCAGGTCACTTCCTGAGAGAGCTGACTGGCCCACAGCGGGTTTTGTGGTTTTACATCAGCTTACAGGTTGGTACCGGTTTGGGCTAACTGATCCACTTGGTTTGTGGTTTAACATTAGCTCAGCTGGTGACGGTGGTTTGTGTCACTTCCGTCTTGGACTGCAAGTCAGCAGTTAGCCACGTCTTTCGTGCTTCCTCCATCTTGGATTGTGGGCTCCACCTCCTTTTCAACACACCTACAAGTCACAAACGTTTCAAAGACCCACAGCAGGATGCCACAGGCACAGACCAATTTGCATTCTGTTAGACATGCGTTCAACTTCCACAGCTGCTTGCTCAAAGGAACTCAGATCCTCTGAAGTCTTTTCATCGACACTCTTCTCCTGAGTCTGAGCCATTCCTGCATTCGGAGAGTATCAGGACAGGACATAGCAAACCATCTTGTGTTGCAATCACAATACCTTCCTGGTTGTTGAGGGTCAATGGGGCACAAAGCGTCTTGTCCCCGATCTGTGTCCTCTGATGTTTTCTGCAGGAACCAATGCAGCCAGCCACTGATCTTTATCACCTGTTAATCGAGTTCCCATCTTCACATCACAGCAGGACACAAATCAAGGAGTCTCCCAGCCTGTCTTGCCTAGGGAACAATTTGCATTTAGGAAAACAGTGTACCCAAAAGTTGTGCTGCCTAATTGTTTAAATTAATAAACATTGATGTCTGGTTTAGCATGAAAATAGTCAGATATGGTCTGTCCTAAATTTTCACAAACAAAATAAAACACATCCAAATTCTTTAAAACTAGCTTGTCTCAAAAGGAGTTAATCAGAGATTCTATCACACTAAGGCGGAGTTTACACAATCACGTCACAGAGGCTTCAAAGAGGTTTTTCACAAAAGGACCCTAGAGTCTTCTAGTCTAGCCTTGATTTAGCTGCTTAGGCTCACACATTTGCATTCAGGCAAAAGGCATTCTAATTTAAATGAACCAGCCCATCTCCACCTTGTAAGGTAATCAAAACTTTATCAGTTACATCACCCCCTCCTGTGGAGGTAGGGTTCTCACACATTTACAGGATCTAAATTAATCAAAAGGAAGTCACTCAGATTTATTAAACCTTATAACCCAAACAGAAAATAAATGATGGTAATAGCTCAAATGTTGAAATAGTTACAAAACAGCCTTACTGTTGAGTAAAATAACATACTACGATCAGCAGTATGGTCTGTAGGGGCTGAGTTGATGTTTACATTTCAAACAAGATTTGCATAGAAATAGCATACAGGAAAAATCTAGCACCGTGTTGATTCAATCATGTTATTAAATTAAATCTATCAATGGTCGATAAGACACATTTAACGGGAAGTTTTTACGGTTCATAAAAAATCTAAACACCCTCCTGTAAAGCCAGTCTTATGGCAGAAACACCAAGTTTAACATGATTTAGTCATATGATAAAATGCTGAGATAAAAAACTGTTACTGCATAGTGTAGAATTCTATTTACCTAAGATCATAACCCACTAAAGTAAAACTGAAAAGTTGTATTTTTAATCTTGGTTCATGAGCAAAAGGTATCGTCGGATCCAGAGTAGCTGCTGCACAGCTAATCTACCAGAGCTATAAGCAAAGAGTCTGTCATTTTAAAATGGCATAAGCTAGTTATAAGGTTATGTGCCTCTTAAAACACAAAATCATGAATTTTCCCTTCTAATTCTGTAATTTGGGGTCAAATTCCTCAATAAATGATTAGGGGAACTACTTAAGTCTAACTACATGATCTTTTAGAAAGAGTATTTATTTATTTTAATAAAATAATAAAAGGCCTGTAGACCAGAATATCTAATTTAACTTGAGGCAATCGCGTGAATCATCTCCATCTTATTTGGGCAACCATTCAGCCTGTGAAGCTGAAGGAGTTAGAGGATGGATGTCTTTATCCCTGCTTAACTGTATTTCCTTAACATTCTATCTATGTAAGTCATTTTGTTTACTAGTTCAGTACGAGTTATCATGCAGATAAAAGCAATGACTTTTTCAGATAGTATTTAGTTAATCATCACACCTCAAACATTTCTTTAAAACTTCCTTTTTGCCTTCTCTCTTTTCCTCAACCATTTCTTTAATTCTGTCTTTTCTCCATCTGTCTGCTTTTTTCCTTAACCTTCTCTGCTAACCTCTCATTTCTTCCTAACCAAACCATCAAACAGTTAGTGGCCTGCAGCCTTATCAAAACCATCCCCCATAACACTTCGTTGTCTCTTCATACACCCCCTCAAACCTTCACCCCTCCTTTTCCTTTCTTCTATTTCTCCAGCTTCTCTTAGGAACCACATACACACACACACCTGAGCCTTCTGACCCACACTTACACATCACAGGATGTTAGTGTTATTCATACATGTACAGAATAAAGAACAAGACAACACAGAACAAAACAGAAACATAGAACATAGACCATCTAGAATCTGCAGGTTTCACACAGAACAAACTAGGCTCAAAGCCTCAGTCACACACATTGTCATGTAATGGGACCTTTCATTCATTCAGAGATCTTGGCCGAGATACACACATTCAGGCTTCAGAACTTCGGCCCAAAACTTCTCTCACACTCACACACACACAGAAACTGACCTGCAGGCTTTCACTCACACACATTCAGAACTTGGACACAACCCCCCCAGATCAGACCAGATCCGGTTAGGCCCAAAACCTTTACTCATACACAGATGGAGCAAAACTCTGTCAGAAATTAACATGCCAGTCCTCAGCGTCACCTTTCAACAATACACAACACGGAAACCGGCAAGTCCACCCACAAAAATGGAACGCAGCCCCATGGCACCAGAAAAATCACAACACAAATAACACAGACCGGGAATTTTAGACCGATTTAAGATCTTTTAAGCCAATCAAATTTTGTGTACCTTGTTGCACCATAAAATATTTAAACAATTCCCTGCGGCAGTGTGATTTCAGCATCAAACCACTCCAATCGACACCAGCACTTACATGCTGCGTGTATTAACCATCCGCGGCTGCTTTAATGCAGCGCTGGTTTAGCAACAGTTTTAGGTGCACCTGAACATTCACCTGTAATTACTACCCGCAGCTCTGCGGGACGCCCTGTGCACGCAGACACAAGACTTATTAAAACCTCCTCTTCAAGGCAGGAATACAGCCCGGTTCACGCTTCAATGCAACCCCACGGTTTACATGTGCAACCCCTAGCTGGACACAAAAACGTCTTTTTGTGCGTGAATGTCAGTCACCACCATCAATCTTAAATCACACTGCCAACGGTTAAAAACAAAAAGTGCAATTAATTTTTACTCACCCAGTGTGCTATTCAGCTGCCAGACTGCGAAGCGAACTCCCACCGGAACTCTGCTCTCCAGAGCTCACCAGAGCTGATCCACAGTCTCCCCTTACCAGAAACAGACTCAAACCAATTTTAGCCAAAACAATCTCACACGTCTTTTTCCGGTCATCAACTTTCTCATACTCTCAAGAGGTTCACACACACACACGGCCGCAACTGGCCCTCCTCAATCAACTCAAACCACACTGCCAGTGGTTAAAGAAACAGACACAAATTACTGAATTAGCTTAATGAATTAATGAATTAACCTACTCTCCGTGGTAATTTCGTCCTGAGTTCGGGAAGGCGAGAGCTTGAATGGGAATCTGCCTGCAAGGCTAAAAAGCCGGCCGGTGAAACAATTTTAGTTCCCCGGGCTTTGATGAGGTAAGTGGCGCCTGTACCGCTCCCCGAAGCCAGCTTCCCATCGACGGCTCTGCCTTGCCCGCATCCTCCACCACTTGTTAGGTAATTTGATTTTATCCCATATTACCTTAAAGGACGACACACCCTTTGATAGAGAGAGAGAGTAAATTGATTATTTGTAATGTCCATGTGTGTAGCTCAACCAGGCCCCATTCTGCTTCAGCCTCAAAGCTTTATCCTCACCTGCTCTGTATACCTGCATTCTGCAATTATCTGGTAGATAATACTTAACCTCCATAACCCTGGAACCTGAAATAAACCCACATGACAACAAGGAAGACATTTTACCCTGAGTCTCCAAATGCATGGAGAGTTAACGCAGAGAAACCTCCTCCGAGGCTTCCCCCACGTCACTCCCCTGTGCTCCCAGTTCTTCAGGGGCTTTATTCACCAAATGGATGGGGGGAGAAGGCGGACCTTCTCAAGTTACAGAGTTCTCTCAATTAACATCTTTGCTCAACCTTTTTATGAACATACCAACACAGAGATTCATGATGTGTAATGGGCATCTTTTAGGTCTCAAAAAGGTACATTTATAAAAATACCCAACAGAAGTAGATTCTGTTCTTCGACTTCCTCCCTAAAGACAAATACCTGTATGGTACATCTTTTTATTTAGTTTGTGTTTATTAAAAACATTTAGGAAGGTTCGTTTCACAAAAACAATTTAAAAAAAAACCTGAAACCGAAAAAACGGAAGGCTGAAGCCAAAGCTTAATATTGCCTCAATAAAATTCACATTAGTGATGTTACTCCATAGTCCTTAAATATATATTTTCATTCTTTTTTTGAAGTCCATCCCATAATTTATCTCCCAACACTGAAACAAATATTTAAACAAGTCTAACTCTACTGCCAAAAGGTGGGTTGTAATGTTTTTGCTCGTGTTTTTGTTTGTCTGTTAGCAAAATATCTCACCATCCCATAATACCTCAACTTGTGGAATGCATACATGTATGTATGTACGTATGTATACAGCTGATAAAAATTTAGAGAAAACCTCAAGAGTGCCACAACAGCTGTTAAACTCATAACATCAGTCAGGCTTACAGACGTTTAAGTCAAGTGTTGTTAACGATTGAGACTCATTGCAAAAAACTTTGTATTTGCATTAAAGGGGACATATTATGCAAAGCTCACCTTTTGCATCCTTTTGTTATGCTGAATGGGCCTTAACTGCCTCTATAAACACTCCAAAAATGAAACTCATTTCTGTCAGTGTTTAGTTTTAGTAATTCTGTACGTAAAACAAGCCATTTTAAAATGTCCCTGTTTGTGATGTCATAAATGGGGAAAGTAGAATAGAACCACCTTTTTCATGCAAAAGAGTGTTGCTGCTAGAGGAGCAGTGCCTTTACTCTGAGCCCCTCTGGATTATCGGGGCTCCTCAGGTTATAACAGTCTCAGCGGGAGAGAGGTGGGTGTGGCCAGCTCCAACTTAAAGTGGCAGAGCCCTGACACACACAGCTCTTTCTGGAAGGTACTGAAATTGTCAGAAATAAAACTGCTGAAATTAATTTATGTGAGAGGGATTTTGTCCAATGAACTGCACAAACATGTTTGGTATCAACTACTAAACTATTATAACTTAAGAAAAAAGTTATAACCATGAACCCTTGGACTAAAGCCCATCTGTAAGAAACTATTCTCATAAACAACCAGATTGATTTTGATAAAATCTGAAATCTTTGTTTTTGTCTTATACAAGTGAATTTGTAATAGAAGAGCACGTCACACATCATCCAGAGGACATTAGGTGCTCCGACAGCCCATGGGACATCAAAGACATAATCCGTCGAAAAATAATTTCTGTTTGTTTTGCAGCTATTAAAGTACTAAGGACCAGTTTGCTCCAGCCATACTTTTTCCTCTACAAGTGAATTTGTGTTTGTGCCTGACCTTTAGCTCAGTATTACCTGAAAAAAATCTTCCTCCACGTAAGATGATCAAAAAGTTAAAAGTGAATTGTTTTTCTATTGTTTTGCTGGAGTTAATTCAACGCTGGTATTGGAACTATTTCATGCAGCATTTAAGAAATGAATAAGTTAACCGGTAATACTAGGTACTGTTGTTAAACACGGCACTTCTTGACACTTGGTAATGCCATCCATGTTGAACGCTTTTCATTTGAAAACTAATTTTTACCATTAGAATTGAATTTTGTCTGTTAAAGTTGTGCCTTATATGTTTTTAAAACATCACATCTCTGCTGAGAGCACTGTGGCTCTGCTGCATTGATAAATCATGGTTAGACTGGAACTGGGCGCATAGGGGCCCAGAATAAAATAATCTGTCTCAAGTGCAAGCAGTGCTTTTAAGCCTTTAGGAGGAATCATGATTGAGTGAAAATGCTCCCGTAAGTTGCAGTCCTGTTATATTTACATATTCATGGCAGTTAGCTTGATAACACAAAGTAGCCAGGTGGCCTGGAGTTTTATTGAAATGTTGGACCTAAGATTGTACATTATTACATGGTACATCTAATAGTCAGCGTGGCTGAGACTTAATGCAGTGCAGTAACTTAACATCAGCAACGTCTCTGCAGCAGTGCCTTCTTCCAACCATTTTAACTGATCGGGGCACAAAAGGATTTAAGCAAAATAATTCCAAATAATTGCTCATTATTGTAACATTTTAGTCTAACCTCATGGTTTAAAATGTTTTGATTTGCAGAAAACCACTAGCCTGGCCTGCCAGACTACTCTGTTTAATTCTGCACAGAGAAAGGGTCTGGGAACTCTCCTATTTAAATAATCCCACCTCCGTGAGAATTCTAACCGAGCCAATCAGTGCTGAGCTGCCTACGTCACACACCATAATGCTAAGTTTGTCATAAACATGGCGACTGAAGCGGAGTTTGCTGCGGCTCTTTCCTCTGTTCTAAATGACTTGGACACGTCTTTAAAACAACAAGTGGAAGCACTAAAAGTCTTTCTTCTAAAGAAAGATGTTTGCGCCGTTGCCAGATGCCCTTTTTTACTACAGCTAAAAAACTGCAGCATCGCGCGGCACAGTTGGCATTTCCGTCTTTTTGAGCTGCCTAGTCCCACCCTTCAAGTGCCTCTCTGCCTGTGAGTTACCAGACTCTTTCTCTGTGCAGAATTAAACAGAGGAGTCTGGCAGGTCAGGCTGTAAAATCTCATTGATGGTTATTTTTTCCAAGTATTTCAACAGAGCAATGTAGCAATAAAAATATGTATAATATATAAATATCACTGAAGTGCATTTTCTTTTCATGTTCAACATATTGATTAATCAAAAACAACAGAGGATCAAATGCATCCTTCACAGAGAGAGAAGGATAAATAATTTGGGCTTGTAAATTCCTAGAAACATGTGGAATCATTTCAAATTGCAACATGAATTGTATTGAATCTAAATAGTTGTCAAATCATTAAAAAATATCGCCAGCAGGCATGAATCGTATTGAATCATTTCGGCAAAAGGTTTCACCGTATCAATAATGAATCATCTCGCTGGTATTGTATCGCCGGTATTGTATCGCTGGTATTGTATCGCCAGTATTGTATCGCCGGTATTGTATCGCTGGTATTGTATCGCCGGTAGCGTATCAGCTGCAGCGTATCGAGATGGAAATCAAATCGGCCCCAGTGGTTAAGATTCACAACTCTCCTGGGTACCTCTTAGCCATCAACTATGGTTGATTTAAATTCCGTGTAGTGCAGAATTTCAACTCAAAGGGGGTTTCATGCTGAATATTAAAATTTTAAACAAGATGCACTAAAATGCCAAAATGACTACACATGTCTACAGCACTATTAGACACTCATTTATTCAGTAATCCAAAAGGGTTCATATGAAGGCAACTGGACTTCTTTGGTTTCAAGAAACAAAAAAAGTCCAAAGATGTTTAACAGTTGCCTTCATTTGAACCCTTTTGGATTACCATGACCTGAATGACTGAGAACCTTCACCAGCACTTTTATTCAGTGTATCAGCAAAAACAGGTCAGTTTGGGGGTGACTTGCTCTTTAAAAATCCAACAGCAGGCAAGGGCGTAGGAACGGGTTTAATATTGGGGGGGACAGACTTTGGAAATCTAACAAATCTGGTCAATATATAGGTCAACCTCACTGAAAAAAATAAATTTAATGATTATTTCTGATTATAATCGGTCACTCTGAGTTTTTCATGCAGGCTGAACATGAAAATAGTCTCCTACACCTATCTCCTGCATTAGCTTCTGATAGAAAACACTGTGAAACTCTAGGATTAAAAAAGTCTGACAGATCTACGTCACACTGTCACTTAACAATCATGGACTCACCCATCTTGACTCACGACAGGGACGGCAGTTTTTAGTTTAGTGTCCAGGAGACAGCAGAGAATGCATCGGTTTGTAGAAGCTAACCATTAGCATTAGCAACTCCACCACAGCAGAACTCTTCCAGGCTTGTGTTATGTGAGGAGAAAAAACATCCACATTGCAGGGCAAACAGAGTCATGTTGATGCTAGCCAATCAGAGGCGAGATGTCCAAATATCAGGAAATGAGACTCCAAATCCTGCAGCGTTCTGCCACTCTCTCCTGTTGCCTTCTCCATGCTCAATCAGACAAACCAAAGCCGTTTTCCCCAGAGTGTAACTTACAAGGCGTTCATTCCTACTAGAGACCACTGCAAATATATTAAAAATATGACTGAAGTTGACCCTTTCATGCTTTAAACAAAAATGTCTTCAATTATGTCTTTAAATAAAAACACTGCAGAGCAATAACCAGTATATTTTATTCTTCAAAAAAATATATATTTGTGAAGGTAAACATTTTAAATGCACCAAGAAAATGATAGTGTCATGTGATTCTTTTGAGCGCTGTCAAACGTTCAATGCCAAACAGTCGTGAAACACTGACCTAGGTAAAAGAGCCAAAGTATTTTTCCGCTTGTTATTTGCAGATACAAACTGCTTGCAAATTGATTTCTTGTCAAGTAAGTCAAGTTTCTCCTGATGAACATGACAGACAGCAACATGACTAAGTCTGTTTTGAGTCACTGTGGATCGGAGCCATGTTTTGAGCCTGCGAAGAACACTGAAACTTCTCTCTGCCTCAGAGGACGAGACAGGGACGACCAAAAGAAACCTGACTAGGTTTTCCACTTGCCCAAAAAGCCTATGTACTTCTACAGGCAATCCACGAATGATCCCTGCAGCCTCTGCACTGTTGCTAAATGAGTAGTTCAGGCGAAAGATAGACAGCTGCACTGAAAGTGACTTTGTTCAACTCTGGGTTTTTCTCAATGACCTCAGCATTAATTTCTCCACAACTTCTGCAATGTCAGAAAATCATCTTGGTTAAATAACTCACTGAGCTGTGCATCTACATTATCCAGGACTTTGTAGAATTCCCCTCTGTAGTGATCTTAGGCACTTTTAGGCTGATGTGCCTCAACTCCATCAATGAAGCATTTTAGGGGTGGTCTGGTCCGTGGAACAGTAATGGGCTTAACACCTAAAGACTGAACCACAGCCGTTGCCTCTTCAAACAGAGTTGTGAAACTTGCCTCATCTCTTTTGGCCTCGAGTGAGGAACTTGGACAGCAGCTCTCATGCCAGCAATGGTCTCAGTTTTCTTCTGAAAAGAGATGTTCAGGCATTCAAGCTCAGAGATCACTGGAGAGGCAAGGATGAGACCTAAAACTGTTTTGCCTTTCCTGAACTGCCCTAGCAAGCCGTTAGCTGTAGATGCAGTGTTTGAGGCACCACAAGCCATCTCCTGCAAGCTAGCCAGCACTGACCCATACTGTGACAAAACAGCCATGATGGCTTTGCCCCGTGCCATCCATCTGGTTGGACACAGAGGTTTTATTGCAGTGAATGACAGATTCTCTGCATGTGCTATTGCTGCATGGATTGCCTTAAACTTCCCTGAATGAGACAAAAGGACTCCAAGCTGGTTGACACAATCCAA